AGTCTTGACGTTGGTTGGCCAATTCTGTAACTTGATCTAGATATGAACATTTCTGATGATTATATCGTATGATTAAACATCATACAGATTCCCATTCTTTGGAGAAACAATGCGGATTGGACATTACAATGGCCTTATTAAAAAGTATATATTACATCTAATGAGGCTTGATGAATATCCAACCAAGATCGATTCAAATTCAAAGATTCTCAGAGAATAAGACACAATGCCTCGTATATTGCAAGCTTCCGCTTTCACACAGTATGCCAATCAAGATCACAAAAGCAATATTCTATAGCTTATGAAATGTAAAAACTAGCTCGAATATTTTCGTCTCGGTTAAATGCTATGATGTTCAAATTACGATTTGCACGTAATTCAAATGTAATTTTAGTATGAAATCAATAGAACGAAATTACCCTATATATCGTTTTAATATTGAGGTTATTATTTAGTCTTTTTCTTTTATGAGTATTCGTGTATGTTCACTTTTATGTTTACTTTTCTTTTACGGTACGTAAGTGGCGAATCTGAAGAACAAAGACGCCAAAAGTTTGTAGAAAAAAACACTAAAAGATATTAGGGGGTCTTTCTCAATTATCAACATTTTTAACAAGTGTACAAACGGTAGGCCTACTCTTTTTCGGTATACTTTCTCCTTCCCCTCTCAAAGTGTACAAATGTACTGTTCATTTTGCAAAACCATTTTCCATTTTTAGTGAAGTCAACTATAAAGCAATGTACTTGGTTGCTAAAAAATAGATATATCCATGGTTAGATTATAATTTTACCATTATTTTACATATTGCATGTTATTTTGAATCAACATTTTATGTATATGTAAAAGCCATCAAATAGCACCATACCGGTAGCAGCACCGATGTGACGAAAATATGACATCAGCAATTTTCAACGGTCTTTATTAGAATATTTCAGGCGATGGGCTGGAGGCCTCATTGTTTTTTTTTCTTCTATAAACTTTATCATAATAAATTTTATTTTCCCGTTTTGATCACAACGGTAATCAGATGAAAACGAGGAATTAAAGTACTAACACCGTTCAAAGTTAACAGTTTTTAAATAATTGATTGACTTTCCAATTGTTATCAGTAGTGGGATCACTAGGCCTAGAAATAATATTATTGTCAGTATTAAAAATCTTGTGTATGTAAAGAATGACGTTTAGTAGAGATACTACATTCTATTCCCAGTTCCTCAGATTAGCTTGATTCCCACACCATATGACACATGTGAACTAAATTGCCAATTGATCTTTGATCAATTGATGAAACGGTGTGACGGTGAGTGGCTTTCTGTCTCTGTTAGAACTTGATTGGCCTATTATTGTTTTTTTAATTTAGTATTTTACTTCTAGTAGTTGTATGCGACCTGCCTGTATACCCATAGACCCCTGCTACGTGCCGCGCTAGACACTGGTCCAAATATTATCACAAAGAATGGCTACTGTGATTATAGACCTACGTTCATATCAAAGAATATAGCTTTCTTTATTGGTGATGGGATCCTTAAAAAGTATACGTTTCCCAATCATCCTTTATTAAAACTATCGCCTTGTCCATCGAATCAGACGGAATCACTAATACAAAATGATAATTTCAGATTTTGCTCAGTAATTACAGTCATGCATCACTAGTTCGTGATCGACACAGATGGTTTTGCCGTATACTGTTCTTATGCTTAATTTCCTACTATTTCGGCGGCGTTCTTGTGATTGGTAGGCCTAATCCATCGATCGCGTGGTATCCAGAGGAAGATTTAATACGTGTATGTTTGTCTCTCTATTTAAAATACAACGATTTTTTTTGTGTGCAATTCATATAAAACCAGTACAAAGCAGCTGTAAAACCCGTGCAAACACACCGTAGTGGTTCAGATTTTCTAACATCGAATTGCTCACACTTTCCGTTGAAATATAAATAATTATTTTCCGTTCGTAAATAATTTTGACCAGCACATTCTAAGTAGGATTTGTAACAACTCCCTTGTCTGCAACACAGGATTTTAAACGCTCAACCCCCATGGCTGATTCATGATCATTCTGTTTAGGACGTCAAGATTATATGAACGCTTTAAAATGGTTCTGCGAAATTCTTCAGATGTTTCAATTGCCTTCATCTTCATCATATGCGTTGGCGGTAAGTTAAACTTCATATTAGGTCTTAATGTTACAAATGTTCAACGAAACATAGCTTATTATTGATTGTATATAATCTGTAATTATTCGATTTTTTGTTCACATTAAAATGATGACTGACAACTGACTTGTGTGTGGCACTAGTCCTACTTTCATGACTGATAAGCCTAGCCCTACATACAAAACTGTTTATTACGTCAACATTATAATGGAACTCTTTAAATTCATGATTCTGCGAAATTCTACAAATGTTTTCCCATCTTTTCTCTTTTAGGAACATATGTTGTTTTTTTGTATTTATTCTCTCAACACACTGTTCACTCAATTATCAGAGATAATACCTGAAGTTTCGACCATAGCTCTTCAATAAATTAATCTGGTTTTGAGCCATGCTCGGAAAAATATAATATCCAAACGTAGGCACAATATGATTGGCGAGTGTAGCTGATTTGATACTTTTCGATCGAACATTGGATGCTAAAGCAAACAATTTTTGTCCCCATTCAATAGTGCCAATGATAGAAGATAAGACTAATGATAGCTGAAGACTTCTTGACTAACTCACATGGCACTTTCAACACTGACGAATTATGCATAAAAATGTTAGTCGTGTCTCGTATTTCAAAACCTTGTTGAAAATTTTATACAACAGCGAGTAGATTGATAAAACTATACATGATGAAAAGTATACAAAAACCAGAGAATCCATTAATTAGTTTTAAATAAAACAAAAATACAGTAACTCCGAAAAGAGACATTTGTCTCTGTAAGAGACAGAGACATTTGTCTCTGTCTGTTTTCGGAGTTACTGTCTTTTTGTTTTATGAAAAATTATTTATAAGTATTTTTAACATATATTCACAAAGCAAACAGATGAGGTCTTCATTAGCTCACCCATTGTCAATTCAGATCACATGTATCAATAGCATACGATTAAAAAATGGTAAGCCAACCAAGAAAACCATGGAAGTGTGGAATATAGACACACAAAAGCTGCGAGACTATTTTCAGTTTACAAGAGTTTATCGAATCTACTTCGGTCCAGGACGTAAATGACTTATGTTACAGTCTGAGAAGGGAAAATGTGTTCAAAACTAAACAAATCACCATCATCCAAAACCATGCCAGAGGCCTTGGTTTACACATCAGCTATGCGAGACTTTTTTATACCTTGTTTCGCGAACTTATTTTAGAGGAGGGAAAAATGAAAATAGAATTTCGTTTTCTTATTTAAAAAAAAAAATTTTGCCAAAAGCATCCAGACGGAGGAGAAAATAAAAATTAAATTATATTGGTGAATGTAAGTAGTGTAGTAATTGAATGTTTAAATGCTTTAAATTTGTTTAATTAGGAAGAAATTCGCATATCTTATTTTTTTTAGATTTCTCGGCATCGGCATAAAAAAAAAACTTTAATCTTTTTTTTTTCAAATTTCCATTTTTTTCGTTGTTAATTGGGCCAAAAACAAAATTGTATTTTTATTCGAAGCCATCATTATTAACGGGCGACGGGTTCGCTAAACAAGGTATAAAACAAGAAATATTTCCTATAAAAAAACGCCGCAACTTCTGTAAAAAGTCTCGCCGTGAACACTTTGTGAACGGTCGGTTGCCTCAATTGTTAAAATAAAGACTGTATTACCTAAAACCATCAAATGGGAAAACTGGAATGAGATAAAGGATCCAAGGTAAACTTAATAAGAATACACTTACGTAATAATAGACCCTATAAAGACCAATTATTTTCCATACGCTTACTGATGTGTTCCTCGGTATAAAACGATCCCGGCATTATTCCATACCCCAAGATAACCAATCCAAGATTTTAAATGACTACCATCTGATAGCCCTCACTTTTGAAGTGGGTAAAATATATATATTTTTTAAATTAATAAAAGTATTACCCCTTTCTCAATAACACGAAATGCTCTAAATGTTTTTGCTAATTTAACCTATGTGGACTTGCCTTCTGTTTTTAATACGCTGAATCTTCCGTCAATAAACAAGTTGATTAAAAGGTTAAAATGTAATAATTACATTGAATAAAGGTATAAATGATTGAATACCGAAGGGAAAACCATGTCGAGGGTGGTCACTACGGGTATTAGATCTTAGATCAAATCAAGTGTGTGTTGGACCTCTGTTATTTATGCAGTATTATTAGGCATATGCTAATGACGGTATGGAAAAATAGAAATACATTATCTAAAGTATGGAAACGTGACTACTTGGTTAATTGAAAGGTGATTGCTGAAAATAAATGTTACAATAATGAAATCAATGCATTCTCAGCTAACCTAAGCAAAATGAAACAATTTATAGTTGTTTTCGAAAGAGCTGCACCCCCCCCCCCCGCAACATTAGTCGTCGGAAAGTGGCCTACAAGTACCTCAATATAAGCCTATAAAACAGTTTAGTCGAGACATTATAACAATTCTATAAACTTGGTTTCCCTAAAATCGTTACACTGTCGCTAAGTTATTTTCAGTGCATTCGTTGTAGGCTAACTGTCCCCGACGCC